AGAGCTGGACGCAGTACTCTAGGTGAGGTCTCACCAGAGCAGAGTAGAGGGGCAGAATCACCTCCCTCGACCTGCTGGCCACGCTTCTCCCGATGCAGCCCAGAGTACGGTTGGCCTTCTGGGCTGCCAGCGCACATTGCCGGCTCATGTCCAGCTTTTCATCCACCAGCACCCCTAAGTCCCTCTCGGCAGGACTGTTCTCAATCCTTTCTTCCCCCAGCCTGTACTGATACTGGGGGTTACCCCGACCCAGGTGCAGGACCTTGCACTTGGCCTTGTTGAACCTCATGAGGTTCACACAGGCCCACCTCTCCAGCCTGTCCAGGTCTCTCTGGATGACATCCCGTCCTTCTGGTGTGTCAACCACACCACTCAGCTTGGTGTCATCCGCAAACTTGCTGAGGGTGCACTCGATCTCGCTGTCTAAGTCATTGATGAAAATGTTAAACAGCACCAGTCCCAGTACGGACCCCTGAGGGACACCACTCGTCATGGGCAGGACTCACGGGTTCCCCTGGGAGGCTCATCTGGGAGCAGGACCTGCCCTTTCCTACTGTGAAGCTGACCCATATAGTGAATGACTCCAGCCCTCCCTTTGCATTTTATTCTTTCAGAAAGGACATAAAGAAATCAGAGACCTCGGTTGGCCTGAGGTCAGGGAGACGAAGAGGACAGAAGAACGTCTGTCTGTCTCCAACGGACCCCTATTCTGGGATGCTAACAACAGGTATCCGCAGCCTGGCCATCCCTCAGGTCACTGTCCCTGCATCTGCCCCACCAGAGCCCAGGGTGGGTGTGGGAGCAGCGGCACTGGACAGCAGGAGCTTGTCCCAGACAGAGCCTGCATCGTTGCACCGCGATGCCAGCTGGAGCTTCTGTGGGATGTGTACTCACCTCTTGAGTAGTGAGAAAAGTTTCAGGAGAAAACCAAATCAGTTTTTTGGTTTAAAACAGAGGTCTTGAAGCTTTTGTGGTTATCTGAGTCTTAAGCAAGCTTTTGCTGTGATAAAAGCAAGCTTTTTCGGTGACAGCTCTCTGCCCTTCCCCGTGCAGGTGTTTGTGTTGAAGACAATAGCCAGTGGATGGCACAGATCAACAGGCTCCAGCAGCTCATCGAGAAGCTGGAGTGCAAGGTGCGTGGCAGAGGGGAGGTGGGCTGGGGGCCACACCTTGGTGCTGGCCAGGTTGGTGCTGGGACCTCTCCCTGTGCCAACAGCCCTGGTATCGGGTCCTGGCGTTGCTACAGAGCTGCACCCATTCACCAGACCCAGGCTCGCAAGGCTGCTCATCCCTTGCTGTCTCCAAATCCCCCTTCTTCCCTCAGCTCTGCTGACCCTCCCCTGGCTTCTCTGTGGTCTGTGTTGATGTGGCAAAATCAGTCTGGACCCACTGAGTCCCACAGAGGCTCAGGTCATGTCCCTTTCTCCCCCGGGTACCTGAAGGAATGCCCCCAGAGTGGTATCCATCTGTCACGCTGAGCTGGCTGGGCTGTGGGTTACTGCCATGTTTTATCTTGTTGCAAAGTTCTCCCAGTAACGATGATTTTTCCTGGGGTGTTAAATGCAGAGCCCGCGCCTGGAGCCGCTGAAGGAGGAAGCGATGTGCAAAGGAAGAGATGCAGTAAGTCCTGTCCTGCTGCTTGTTGTTTGCAGGTGTGTGCACAGATCCCCTCTTGCACACACGTGTGCTTGTGCAGCCCCTGTGCCTCAGGACTAGAGTCATCTGAGTGAGCTGTGGGCTTTGGTTTGGGGGGGGGTGGGTCCTCTGCCCAGTGATGTAGCAGGGTGGGAGTCAGAGCTGTGAGCTGGGCAAGTGCAGCTCCATCAGGTGCATGAAGTCCCACAGCCAGCTTCGAAGAAGGCAATGCTCTGCTTGTGAGTGCCCAAGTCTCCCAGGTTTGCTCTGAGGGCCCACAGACCATGCACCCAGTGGGGGGGTCCTGAGGCCCCTTTCTGCTGGGGTAAGGACACGGGGAACTGCAGCAGCTCCAAAGCAGGACCCCACCACCAGGGGATGGAGCATCTCCTGTTGGTGTGGTCCTCGTAAAAGCAACCTGGCCCAGGTGGGAAGAAGCCACTTTATGTCATATGTCGGCATTGTCCCCAGTGCTGTGGTGCCAGCCCCTTCTTGCAGCTTCCCCTGCGGTGCTGTGCTTGCTCGGCACTGCCTTGTCCTGCCGCTGGGTGAGCAGAAGGGAGATGAGTCCCTGATGCCGCTCATCTGCTGTCCCTTCGCAGCACATCCTGGTGGCGAAGAGGCAGATCTCGGTGGCAACAAGCAGCGTTGAGGAGTTTCGCCAGGCCTTCAGATCCTACACGGAGGTCACTGCTGGGCAGAGCAGCTGCCTGCAGTAAGTGTGGCGGGCGGTGGGGCTGTTCGTGGCACGGCTCGCCCAGGAACGGGGGCTTTTAACACAGTGGCCTTGGGGGACAAAAGGGTTTTTTTGCGGAGTATTTTGTATGCCAGTCGGCGCATGGGTGGGCTTGGCGTGCGGAGGTTTGATGGCACAGAGGATGGGACAGTGTCACAGCTGCAGTGTGCTCTCTGGCTGCGGTACCGTCCCATCTCCTGCTGCAGGTTCCCCCAGTAAGAACCACTTGTCAGCGCTGGGCAAGGACGAGGCTGGGTTTTATGCTAGCACAAAGGCTGTGCTGTGCACATGTACGAGAACGTGTGCATTCCTCCAGCACCGAAGGACTTGAAAGTAATGGGGGAGAAGTCAAGGGGAGAGCTTGAGTCACAGCATTGCTGTACGCAAAATGTGTGCAGTGCTGGTGGGGAGCAGCTGTGAGACCAAGGCTCTGCCACCCAGCACCACTCCAGAGCTCCAGACAGAGCGGAGGAGGGAGCCCAGGTCTAACTTGAGCAGCACGCTGCTGCCAGCGTGTCCCTGGGGATGTGCAGCTGCTCTTCGAGAGGCGCTTTCCTTCTCCTGTGGGAGACTTCATGCCGCTTTCAGTGGGAAATGTTCGTGCTGTTCCCATTTAAAGTGTCATTTTTCAGCTCTTCAGTTCCAACGGCACAAAATTGCGTTTTCAGTCCAAACAAAAGGAAGATACTTGTTTTGACACATGTGACAGAGAGAGTGGTGGTTCTTTTCTTTGGAATTGATGGGCTTTTCTGTCGTGAGAACTATTAGCCTAGACAACGGGGTAGAGTTGCATGGGCAGGCTCTCCACGTGAGTGGAAAGCTGGAGCAAAGCCGGGGGAGACTCCCTGTCCTGGTTCATGCCAGGGGATTGCAAAGCGTGTTGCAGCCCCTGCACAGGGGGATGCAGCCTTCCAGCTGCTGGGTGACTTGCTTTGCTCTCCCCCTGCCCCGGGCTGGGTCCCTCCCTGCAGCCCTTAGCAACAGCTGGAGCAAACGTTCAGCCTCAGCTGGAACTAATGATGCTGCAGCTGGGTGCAGATGGTTCCCCCGGCCCTGCACCCTGAGCCTTGCTCTCTTGCCTCCCTGCTGCGTCCCGCTCCATCTTCCCAGCGACTGGAGAAAGCCTCAGCCTGTTCCTTTGGCAGGAGGGAGCGTGGGAAGCATCGCCTGGTGAAACAGCATCGCTTTGGGGGGTGGCGAGCTGTGGTTTTATGCTGCCATCTTGGCTCCTTGCGCTCGTGCCTCAGTTTCTCTCCACGCAAAGGGGAGGGATGACACACGAAGGGTGTGGAGGGAATTGCTCCTTTGTCAGGCTGTGTGCTGCAGGGCTAGGGATGTGCTAAGAAATACTTAATGAAACACTTAACACGCTGGTTTCTGGGCAGCCCCAAGGACCAGTTTAATAGCTGTAAAGCTCCTCTGTGGCCTGGCTGCAGGGGCTGCGCAGGGTGAAGGGTTTGGGTTCAGGATCCCCCAGAGCCGTGTGCCGGCCCCAGCAGTCACAAATAGCGGATGCATCCAAACTGCTCGTGGTGAGGCTCACGTGCAGACCTGCAGTCCTCACCCTCAGCCTGGCAAGCCCAACGTGGCTGCACCATGCTGGCTCGCCAGGCCCTGTCTCAGGGTGGCTCCTGTCCCCACAGCGTGTCCGCCTGCAAGCTGACAGACGAGGCCTGCTTCATCCTTTACGAGTTCTGGCAGGACGTAACTTCGTGGAGAAGGTTGGAGGCTTTCCTTGTGCGGGGCTGGGTCTGGGTGCTCTGGGTGGGGGTCTGAAAGGGGTTTCCTCTCCGGGCTCCGCCAGGACCCCCTGCTCCCACACAGCCTGTCCTGCTCTGCCGCCAGGGCCCTTTGCAGTGGATGGGGGTGAACACCTTGGTAAAGGAATTGGGGCGCAGGGCAGGAGGGGGTGTCCTGCTCCGGGCGGTGCCAAAGCAGCCCTGTCCCCCGCACGTGGGCAGGCATCCCGGTGCGCAGCCGCTCCCCCGCAGCCGCGAGGCACGCACGACCCCCGCACCCTCCTGACCCTGCTCGCTGTTTTACAGCCACTTGCAGTCCAGCTGCAGCAAGACTTTCCAGCGGGCCATCGTCAGCTTGCTGGAGTCCCCGGAGCTGCTGACCACCATGCTCTTCCCAGGTGAGGGGAGCAGTGGGGTGGGCTTGGGAGGCTGTGGGACCCGCACAGTCCCACGCTCCTGCTCCGAGTGTTCCACAGAGGGTGGGAGCAGTGTGGGGAACAGGCGCCTTGGCTCCCTCCAGAGCAGAAGATTGGCTTGGGGGTGACCTAAATTGTGCTTGTCAAACCAGGGTGAGACCGGTCCCCCCTGGCAGGTCTGGCTGTGGGTGCTGGCAGCGCGGCGGGGCCTCTCCTGTGCCAGGGGGATGCTCTCCAGCCAGGGGGATGCTCTCCAGCCAGGACAGCCAAGCAGCTGGGGGCACTTCCCGAGTAGCAGATAAACTGAGCTGTTTTGAATGCACCTGATGCTTTTTTTTTTTTTTTTCCCCTTCTTTTTTTGGCTGAGCCCTGAACCTGCTCTGCAAAGCACTGGCCCTCCTGGGTCAGTCCCAGTGGCTGCGTCCAGGTTTACAGTTCAGTGGTGCTGAGGCAGGGGAGAGACCAGCTCAGGGCAAATGCGCGTTCCCCATGGTATCAATGGAAATCTGGCCAAGGCATGAGGAATGGGGAGAGCTGGGTGACAGATCAAGGCCAAATGAAGGCCCAGTTTGCTATCACTTTTGGGTCTTGTGTAAAATAACACAAAACACAGATTAATTTGGACTAAATCCCATGCTGGCGGTGCTCCTCCTGACCGGCCAGTCCTGCTGGCCCCATTCCCAGTGCTCCCCTGCAGAAGTCACCGCAGCTCAAGGGGGTTGCCCAGCTCCAGGATGCGCTCCCTGCCCCGGGGCGCTGGGTGCCTTGCAGCCGGGTGCCAGGGCCCTGCAAAGCCTCAGCTGCCCCGAGCGGGGTCAGCTCTCCTGTCTGCCACCCCTAACCCCCTCCCCTGTTCAACACCAACTGCACAACCCCAACCCCTTCCCCTCTCTCCCCAGCCTCCTGGTGGATCATGAACAACAACTGACCTGGGCAGCCACTTCCAGGACGCCGTCAGCATGCAGAAGGATGCGGAGCCCTCAGCACAGCTGTCACCTTCTGTTGTGTTCGTCACCTCCCTGTCCCCTCCTGCGGTCCAGCAGGGGCTGCCTGCCCCTCATCCCTGGCAGTGTTTACCATTTTCCTCATTTCACGATAATTTATTTATCCTCTCCACACACATAAAAGGGTCTCTGTGCTGCGCGGGGGAGCGGGGCACTCCCAGCAGTGCTCGTGGGAGCCATATTTGGGTGGCAGCCTTGCTCTCAGGGGGGCGCTGGGCTGGTCGCTGCCTCCCAGCAGCCGTCAGCCCTACTTGCGCACTGGCTCCTCTTCCTCCCCATGCTCCTCTTCCTCCTGGCTCTGAGGACAGGCTGTGGCTGCACAGGCTGCTGGGCAGGCTGGGGGACAGGGCTCTGACCAGCTG